GATTTTGCCGAGTAATGTTAGCCGCCTATATTTCCAATTGCTTAATATGTTTTTAATTTTGTCCGCTTTTTCCCTATAGTTTAAGCTTAATGTGATATCAGGATAGGTAGAAAGCCAAACGCCAAGGACCTTAACTTTGTTTTCTGGCCATTTAAAATTCTTCTCGGGAAGAAGTTTTTCCTTATTTCCTGCCATTGATCCAATCCATAGAGCTTCAGTCTTTTTACTGTTGAGTCTGAGACCAGACATACTGCTAAAAGTCTCGATCATCTTAAGTGTGGCGGATAATGAATCTCTAGTACCGTTAAGAATGAAAGTTGTGTCATCTGCATACTGGCTAATTTTAATTTCTGAGTTGTTTACAGATATTCCTTTAATATTCTTGTTCGATCTGGTTGCTTTAGCTAAAATTTCAGCAGATAGTATAAATAGGTACGGCGAAAGAGGGCAACCTTGCCTAACACCTCTTTGTGGTTGAAAAAAACAACTCGTCCAGCCATTGTTTAGGACACAGCTTTCGATGTTCTTGTAAAATGTTTGAATCCAGGTTATCAAAGAAGAGCCGAAACCAAAGTGCTGGAGCGTGCGCTCAATAAAAGACCATTCAAGCGAATCAAAGGCTTTTTTCAAAATCTACAAAGAGCAATAGCCCAGGGATATTTTGTTGAGAAGCGTAATTTATAATGTTATCTATCAATCTAATGTTTTCTCCAATAAATCTTCCTTTTAGGAAACCGGTCTGGTCGTTATTGATAAGTTTTGGGATAACAGATTTTATTCGGTTTGCGATAGCTTTCGCAGCTATTTTGTAGTCGCAGTTGAGGAGAGTAAGGGGCCGCCAGTTTTTAATGAAGTGCGGTTCTGCGTCTTTTTTTGGTATGAGTTTAATGATTCCGCGTCTCTGTGTGATCGAAAGGGCTCCTTTATCATATGAATAGTTGAGTGCACTTATTAAAAGAGGAGATAAGTCTTTCCAAAAAATTTTGTAGAACTCGGCAGGGAGTCCATCAGTTCCAGGGGTTTTGTCTCGATCCATGCTTCTTAAAGCTTTAAGACACTCTTGTTCGGTTAAATATCCTTCGCAACTCGTTGCCTCGTTGTCGTCCAGAGACGTTTCGTTTTCAGGTTGAAAAAAATCACTGTCTGTTGGTATCACATTTTCCTGGGATGTGTAGAGCTCTTTGTAAAAGGTTTCGCATTCAGCAAGGATTTCCTTATCAGATGTGATAAATTTTTGATCGGTGATTTTAAGCTGGCTTATTGTACTCAGTTTGAAATGTCTTTTCTCAAGGTTTAGAAAATATTTAGTGTTTTTTTCGCCTTCATTGTACCATTTAATTTTACATCTCAAGATTGCTCCTTGGGTACGTACTTTAATTATCTCTTCTAATTCACTTTTGGATAGCTCAAGTTGTTCTGTTTTATTTGTTTTTTGCGTTTCGCTGACAGAAGGCTCTTCAAGTTCTTTTTCTAATTTTATATAACATGGTCTATAACAGAAGGGACCAGTGAAAGATGCCGTCTGTTCGTAAATTCACAATAATGAAATGAATCCAGTGGTTGCAACAGACAACAATTTCAATTGTCTATACTCTTATAGATGCTAATGCAAATGTTTGAATATTTTACAGCTATTTTTATGATCTATATTATTTTAGAAAGAAAAATTGGAGTCAATTTGTTTAATTATATCTAATTATATATAATCCACTGATTAATTTTTGCATGATTTAATTGGCTATTTTGGGTCACATGGTAGCAAATCGGAGGTCAGGTATCAGGCAATACACTCGGTGCGCGTCGATATTTGCCCCACAAGTTTTCAGTAGCAAGAACAACAACAACAACAACAATGTATTTATTTAAAGAAATGTAAAGTTTACAATACTAAGTCTTCATGTCCTGCAAATAGCTATAATGCTAATCTAGGCAGGACGACTTTAACTAAAGGCGTTATTAAATTACATAAGAAAAGAAGAAATACAAAAACATACAGAAAGAAACACCTTACATATAGGTAAATTCAAGTACAAGGGATTTTGTTATTTGAAAAAGACTGTAACTGGAGGTGTATACAACATATCAGGTTAACTTCACAAAATATTCTATTAAATAATTAACATTCAAATAATTATCTTCATTACCTAGAACATTAAGGAGTAGTGATTTAATTTTTTTTACGAAAATTAGGAACGTTGAGAGTCTTAACAGAAAGTGGAATAGAATTCCAAATAGACACACCAATATTATTCTAGTAAAAGATTTTTTCATTTTTTCAGTTCTAGAGAATTTGACAGAGAAGCATTCTTTTGCAGATAATCGCGTATTATAATGATGTTTTGTATTGATTTTCGCAAACTTATCGAGAAGACTTTTTGGAGCTGTCTTAGCATGAACGTCATACGTTAAATAGTTTAATAAATTAAGAAAGCATGACAAAGTCAACAAAGTGAGTCTCTTTTCAGTTTATCTTCTTTAATAATGTCAAATGGAAGCAGTAAAGACAAACTTGTTTTGCATAATCCAGTTACACTAAAATTTTGAGCTTGTCGCAACTGACAGTTCCGGAAAATGCAAAAAAAAAAAAGAAGAAGAAGAAGAAGGTATGGATCGATGAAGAGCAAAATTTTACTAATTATTATACCTTGGCTCCACTATCACAGTCTCTCACTCGAAAGTGAGTCAAACAAGAGAATTGGAAATGAAGCAAGCACGATGTCGAGGCTGTCAAACAACAGACTGATTGCACACACCATGCAAGGTCATGGTCTACAGAGCTTGCCGGCCGGAACAGTCAGTTAGCAAATGAAATGGGCTTTTTCCAGAGGGTTTTGTTTAAAAACCATCTCCTTCGTGCATACTGTTTAGGATTTGACTGATCTGGTTGGATAGTTTTGATTAAAAGTGAAATTCTCATTACGATGGGAATGGTCTGCCTGGTCAGTTCTGGCAAATGGAAAGCGCCCTTTAGTCAACACATTGTACATGCGCTGCCTCGGACGGCTCCTCGACTTAAAGTGGGGGGCCAAAGTCAGCAAAAGCGACATCCTGGAAGAAAAAACAAACTTCCCAAGAGTTTTTGACCTGTTAAAGCAGAGGCGAATGCGCTGGCTTGGTCATGTTGTCCAAATGAACGATGACCGAATACCAGAGGAGCTCCCTTAAGGTGAGCTGTCTCAGGGAACTCGCCCCACAGGCACACCGCAGCTTACAGGAGGTCTCAAGAGAGACCTCAAAGCGCTGCAGATAAACACCCGGGCTTGGGAAACCACAGCGTCTGACCGCACATATGGGAGAAAGGCTGTGAACCAAGGGCTTAAGAAATTTGATGTGTCATTGGCTGAGGAGGCAGATCAGATGAGACAACACAAGTAAGAAAGATAACACCAAAGTATCGCCACCAACTACATCTACTCACATTGCGGAAGAGACTGCCACTCCCGCATTTGACAGTGCAGCTACAGAAGATGCTGTCGAGTCCACCTTCATCAGGGTGGAAATCCATAGCATTCCGCGACTGACGGATGCTGCTACAGTGTAACCTCTTCTGAGCTGACACCCTCGGCACACAGAAAAGGTGTCCATAACTGTGTCCGACCCCTTACGGGATTTTTCAAATACAAAGTTTGCATGGGAGTTGGGAAAAACAGGGCTTTGTGAAGGCGGTCGTCAGTAGAGCTGTCCGCTTACAAGAGTGTCCGTTAGGAGAGCTTCCACTGTATTCACTTAAAAACATGCCTGTCTTGTTAACCTTTGCCTTTCCCTCAGCAGTTGCAGGGCATAAGGGGATGTTTATTCCAGCAGACATAGTTAAACCTCTCTACAATGGCCACATAATGATAATAATACATGGTAAAATAAGAATTATATATATGAAAGAAGATCAAAGATTTTTTTTCAGGTTTCTTTTCTCAACTGCAAAGTTGCGTCTATAGCTGCGATGATCCTCTTTCATATAATTATTCACCCCGCAGTTCTCATATATGATTTTCATATATTCATAACTTCATTATTATCCTTTCATGTTTTTATAACGCACCAACTCAACGACCTGCTCCCAGTTGGCTTGTTAGTTCAATTGGTAGCGCGCTGCACCGGTATCGCAGAGGTCAAGGGTTTGAATCCCGTACAAGCCTGAATTTATTTCAGTCTTTCCAAGTTTAAAAACAAGCTAAACGTGCTTACCTCCATCATTGTTAAATATTGCATGTTTATTGGGAAGTTTAGGAGAGAAAGGGTGGTTCAGGTCTGCAAATAATTATACTCCAAATAGCAGATGTTGTCCATTGAGGTGTGTTTTTGCTGTTCTTGCTATATGTATTTAGACAATAGTTTAAAATGAAACGAGTAAAATGTTCCCCCATTACTCACTTCGAAACCAACTCAAACTTGTCCCCAGGTCTTTTTGGTTAACAAGACAATAATCTGCAATGTTGCTGCACTTTTGACATCATCGGTTCATTTCAATATGGCAAAATTCTTTTAAATTTGGTCAACAAAGGCAGGTTATAATGAATTATGCGTGTGATTTTAGCCAATCAGAAATGGAGAAACATTTTGAATGAATAATAAATATTGATATGGTATTTGACTCTTCTTTTTCTAGTACCTGAAAAATTCCGGACAAGCTACGCTGCTGGAGGCATGGCTGGACAGCGTCCTTTTAATTTTAACCAAACTGGTTTAAACTTGTTACCTTTACTCGGGAGTCCATTGGGAAATCCCCAGCAGCTTTTGAGTCAGTTACAACGGTTACGAGCTCCTCAGTCAAACATGGGTGTAGGATCATTTGGTCAAGAAAGTTATGGAAGACAGAGAATGCAATTCACTGATGATTGTTTCAGAAGGGAACTGCCTGGCTTTGACCACAGAGAGAGGTCCTTTAGAGAGCCTTACATGAGATCTCAAGGGAAGGACAATTACTCTAGCGAGAATCGTGATAGAGTTCATCGGCTGATGGACAGGGAAGTTCCATAAAAATAGACTTCCTGTTCCCAGAAATGGGCTCAGACGGAAATGAAGAGAAATATGGAAGGGAGAATATGGAGAGGCAAAGTTATGGTATGCACGGCAGAGGCAGATCAAGGTCACCTGTCCGATCTAAGGGAGACTTAAGAGATAGGCAAGTTAGTCCTAGCGACAGAAAGTATGGATCCAGAAATGACTTAGTTGTTCCCTGGAATGCATTGTTTCGCCGTCATTGCTATCTTGTACCCCCCTTAGATGACACCTATGTTTTGGCATTAAGTGGGAAACAACCAGGATGTCGCGCAGTCTTCATTGGTGGTCTTCCAAGCATGGCTGACGAAGACATTGTCAGGGAGATTTTCAGTCTCTGTGGGCCTATTGAACAGATAAGCCTAAACAGTGTTCGAGCAAGTACACAAGTAAAACACTGCCAATTGCGCTTTGTCAAACTTGACTCTGTTGAGAGGGCAGTCAAGTTCAATGGTCATGTACTGGTCATTGGAGATGGTCGCGACAGAAAAACAAAAATTGGTCGCATTCGTGTTGATTATGACAAACTGCCCGGGGGTAGTGAAGAGGTGCAAAGTGGCATGGTAGTCAAGGAGAAAGTGCAGCTGCCTCAAGATGAGAAGGAACAGGATTTGAGCTTTGAGTTTACACGCAAACAGGCTTTCCATCTTCTGGACCTGATTCGTCATGATCAGGCCTTAACAGAGTCACTTGGTACTTTAACACATTGGTTTGAAAGGGGAGAGTGTAACCGTTCTACAGTGAATGTGTTCCATGCATTGCTTAACACTGTCAATAGTCTGATCAAAAGGTTGGTGAGCAGACGGAAGGAGCATGAACAACGTGTAGAGAAACAGAAACAACAGGCTGTGGAAAGAGGCAATGAAATCAAACAGCAATGTAAGTTAAGTCTTTAATGCTTAATATTTAATGCAATTTGACATAATGATAAATGTCTCAGTAATCACTATTCAGGCATAAAATAATGCATGCAGGAGATTTTCTAATTCTAATCATATTATATGCGAGGGTGTACCACATCACAGCAGATGTGCAAATGTTCCTGTGCTTATGTTGAAATATAATCAAGGTGTGAGTTTTAAGCAAGTAAAATTAATAATAAAAAAATAATAATAAAGTTCTGGGGTCAGCAGTTTTAAAGATGGCACATGACAGCCATTTTGAAAGCCTCCACTGACTGCTTTTTCTTTTTGGTAAGAGTTCCAGTCTCTGATTTTACGTGCAATAAAACTGTGTAAGTATTTGGTTGCTTGGAACAGACTTGAATGAATTTCTTAGGATGGAATTGCGTAGTGCTCTGTCGCCTTATAACTTGAGTAATGCCACTTTCCTTCTTTTCTCAAGTTTCTCAGAATTTTCTTGACAATTCCAGGAGTGGTGCTATATTCATTTTTAACAAAGCGTGCAGCTCGTCTTTGCTTACTCTCAATGTCCTTCATCTGTTTTTAAATGTGTGGATCCCATGGGTAACATCCACTTTCAAATCAGAGGTTATGCTAAAGGCAGATAGGCTTTCTCAACATTTTCTGGGCAAATCTTATTTAGATTTGCTAAGCATGAAAGAAGTAAACAACAAAAGTATCATATTTTCTCTTGTAACTGAAACGTGTATATTAAGTGAGATTGTTTATCTTGTCACTTGATAATGATGCGACATGAAACTTTGAAATGGTGTGTACATACAGCTGTATGTGTGTAATGAAATAATCATTAATTTGTGGCTCTTATGTACTACCATTAGGTGAAACTGTGTGCAGGGTTTTTGAAGCAGCAACGAAGCAGAAAGCATGGGATCATTTCACAAAGGCACAAAGGAAGAACATCACCCAGTGGCATGGTGCCATAAAAAATGTAAGTGTACTTAGTACTTTACTGTTATAAAGTTTATTTTGCTGAATCTTCCCAGGCTGCTCCAGTAAAGTTAGATCAGAAGGCAAAAAAATTGTTACAGTGGAACCTTGATATAACGAACCTTTGTATATGGAAGTCCTCAGTATAACAAACAATTTTCTTTACCCCAGTAATAGTAAAGCATGTGGAAGAGTACCTTGATATAACGAAACCTTTTGATAGCGAATAAATTTTGCCAGTCCCTTGGCACTTTGTTATATTCAGGTTCCACTTTATTAAGTAGGCAGCAAAAGATTAGATCATAATCCATGCTTGGGGTACGTATATGTGGGAGGAGAGCTGCCCCATCTTGCATGAGGGAGTCCAGGCACCTCTCCTGGAGTATTGTTAATTTTTGCCGCTCTGAAAAGTACATATTAGTGGATTTTTAGTACGTGGCCAAGGATATAATTTTGCCATCAGAATGGCACCTTTGTTTCATATTTTCCCCATCTTCTCTATATTTTATATCATATTATGTTTTTTTAATCAAACATAAGCGTTAAGACAAATACGGTACATCAGATTCATTACCTCTCTTTAAATTAATTTTCTGTGAGTAGCCAGCTCCTCTGTGAAATGTAGATGGGAATTGATTGGCTTTCTCGCACCGTTTCTGGAGAACTTTCTTAAAGGTGAAATTATTTACCCTTACAAAATGTCAGTGCAAGATTATGATTTTCTGCTTACAGCCATCTGCCTTGTTATCAGTTGTAGCCATCAACCTTCATTGCCTTTACTGTTATTTAAACCGCTCAGAACAGGCCACTTCTAAAAAAACAGCAGCAACAGCAAATCTTTAATTTCCTTTAAAAGTTATCCAGCTTTTACACAATGACAATGTTACATTAATAGCATGCCCATTTAGCACTCGCATAGAACAATACAGTGAAACCCCGCCTTACGGCCACCTCAGTAATACAGTCACCTTGCTATTCAGCCACTTTTTTAGACGCCTGGCAAAATGGCCATACCTTTTCTTGTAAAAGAAGTCCTTGTTAATACGGCCAAATTTTTTTGTCCTCTTGTTGACCGTACTAACAGGGTTCCACTGTAGAATACAAATTTAAGGGTTGAACCTAATTACAGACTGTTTATATACCTACAATCGTTTTAGTTAAAGGCATTTGTTTGTTGTATTAAATGTTGATAGCGAGTGTTAACATATATGTATTGTTAGTTGCTTGAGATAATATTCATTCAGATGAAGACTTGAAATGGTCGTTACTCCACAAGTATCTTGTTGAGTTTCTTTTTTCCGAAATTTCCTAAGTGGACAAAAGGAAACGCAGACCATGCCAAAAGCTAAGTTGTAGACTTTTCATCAAAGAGCTAATATTCTTATAGCTGTCATACAACTCTTGGCCAACCTCGTACATCTTCAGGTCTTTCTAACTTTCCTTGTTGGGTAGGTTAAAGGTGCTAGAAATTCTATGATGCATTCTTCAACCAAGACTCCTCCTTCTGTAGGTTTACAGCTGTAGTTCTATTGATCGCTTACCCAAGAACATGAACATTACCAACATTTAGTTGTTGTTAAAAGATAAGAATCATAATATCAGGGAGGTAAGGGTGGTGCATTGCTGAGAGCACTCACCACTCACCAGTGTGGCCTGGGCTCAAATCTCACAGTCAACTCCACATGGGTTGTGTTATGTACTCTTTCTTTCTCCATCAGGCTGCTGGTTTCCCTCTCTCCTCATTAATCAATATTTTCAGATTCCATATCATTTGAGAGCAAGGATGGCACAGTGCTGAGAGTGCTCACTTCCCACCAATGTGACCTGGGTTCAAATCCCGATGTTGACGCCATATGTGGGTTGAGTTTGTTGTTGGTTCTCTTCCTTGCTCTGAGAGGTTTTTCTCTGGGAACTCTGGTTTTACCCTATTCTCAAAAAACAACACTTTCAAATTCCAATTCGACCAGGAATCAGGTAGACCAAGAACTACTTTGTGGATGTCCTACCTCCAAATCATTATTTATTTATTTACCAGTCTAGGATACATTAGGCAAAGAAGCACTTTAAGGATGTGCTACAACTAAATGGTTATTGATTCATCATTTTATTAAATACCTTGCCACTTTTTAGTTTTTCATTGACAAGTGTTACAAAATAATGTGAACATATTTTCCCCCGCCTCTCTTTGATAAGTATTAGTTACATCTGTGCGTGTATGGGTGATAAGTTTGACTGTCTTCTTTGGTTTGTTATTTGAAAGTTGCCATGGTTAACTCTTGCTGGATTGTTACTTAAAACAAAGTACATGCTCCTTGCATTACACAGCAATTTCCTAACTGGAGTCTGATAGTCTGTGCAGAACACAAGAAACAGCCTTTAGTACCAAATGATTTCTTTGAGAAACTGATGTTTCTCAGTTGTTTAGACTTTTAAGGTCTGTTGAAGGTTTGATTGTTATCACCACACACCCACATTTTGGCAGTAACGTAGCATGCTTCACTCAAGTGCCATTTATTTTTCCAGTGTGGCAAGTGTTCATGGGGTGTATTTACTTCCCACCGAGAAAAAAAAATGTTACATCCTTCAGTGATTTTGTTATCTCTATGTGCTGCGTCCCTGATGCATAAAAATCCCCAAAGACACAAAATAATAATTTGTGGTATTCATCCCATAGGACGCAGAGAGAGATCAATTGATCAATCTAAAGATGTTTTCGTAGAATATCCTGTTTGTGTGATTTCTGTGCCTGTGCTGTTCTTGTGGCTGTTGTTAAACGACTCATTTCTTTTAGTCTTTGTTGTGCTTTACAATAGAAGGAGTATATTACTGTAATTTGGAGTTTTGGAGTCTGTCCTCAGATTAACTGTGTGGTTACAAAAGACCCTGGGACTCATTTTTTTTTTTTTGAACTGGGGCTCATTGGTTCTGGACTGGGACTCATAATTTTTCAGAAGATGAGTCCCAGGACTCACCATAACTATTATTTTGTAACAGAATCACTGATCCTTTCCAGTCTAACCCCATTCGAGTGCAAAAAAGTAGGACATCACTGTTTACGTGGTCATTCTGTAGAGTACGACCATCCAATAACTGCTGTGGCTACAATCCCTCACTCCTTGAGTTAATTGGAAGACTGTGAAGGTAAATCAATAGCAGTTCTCACTGTTATCATTGTGTGCCGTCCCCAGGAGATCAAATCAGCCAAAGAGGCTGAGATCGAGAACCATGTCGAGGTAGGTATGGATCTGGATGATGAAGTGCCAACGCTTGGCGGGCTTATCGAGCAACCTGCACTGCAGACATCAGCAGAGGGAGAAAATCAACAGGATCAAGAGGAAGATCAAACAAGCCTATTGACGACAAAAGCCAAGAAGCGGCGAGTGGAAGCTTCAGGTACTGTGTCATTACACCACGGGCATCTATAATTACAAATTTACTCCTAAAGGTGGGTGAGTTAATTATGCACAGTGCAAACCCTTTGATTGGTAACGGGATGGAATTCGATGTGCTGCCGTTAAGAAGCTGTTAGCAATATGTCTGGTCTCTCTTTGACCAAGAGGACTGTTCCTGATATACAGTATTACTTGTTTGAAGCTGGTTGTAAGAGATTCAACTCTGTTGGTCTTTCTGTTGAACCAGGTACGTTTTTCCAGCTTCTTCCCCTCAAGGGTTACGTGAACGTACAATATGAAGCTGCTCTTGTGAGCTAAGTTTTTTGATCAGCTGGAAGCTTAATACTGATGCTCACTCAAGCAAAATTGGTCTGATCATGCCGGTAGTCGGAGTTAAGGACAATTTAAACTACTTTTATAGCTCAATGCTGTAGTTATTGTCACTAAGTACAGGTTCAATGAGAACGTGACTAGAGCTCTTATTTTTCTGTAGCTTCCGTCGGAATCTTCACTAGACACATGTGATGAGCGCAGAGCAAAATTTATTTCAGTAGTCGATTAATCACGTTTTCAAAACCCTCATCATGTCATTTTTTTCTTGATATCCTTCTATTTTGTCTTGATTGTAACTTGCAAAGTCATCTTGGCCACCGCCCTTAGGAAGTAATAAGTCAGTAGAAGTAACATATCTTAACAGTTAAGTGTCAACTCTTCTGTGTAATCTGTCAGTGGATATATCTGTTAGCCTTTGAGCTTTAACCCTCTCTCATTACAGACGCTATCATTTTCTGATTTTCCCTTACCGAATCAATAGATGGCACTGCCTTAATTGGATTTACACTCCACATTTTGTAACCTTTAGTTAGGGGACAACCTGCATGAGACGGAAACAAGTTATAATCTTAACTCCCACTCGACAATGTATTTGTATCCCAAGATGAGACCCTCGATCATGGTCCATCTTCTCTCTTATTCTTCCCTAGGAAACATATAGAAGCAGGTAAAGAGAATTAGGATGTTGATATCAGGGACACCGGCCGTTAGAAGACCCCCTAAGCGGTTTACGGTTGGTTCGCCAATGAGTCGTTTCGCCAACGTCCTGTTCGCTAACTTCTGAAGTCGTTTCGCTTATGTGTTGGGGCAGTACCTTAACTGCTTTTACCTGATCAGTGGCTGAAAGAACGAAGTATATACATGCGTATAACATTTTGTTTGTGTCATGGCTAAGAGAACGAAGCATATACAAGGCGAAGCCTTCGTTTCCCTTCTTAGCGAAACAACATAAGACATTAGCGAACGGGACGTTGGCGAAACGACTCGTGACACGTAGGCGAAACAACCGGCCACCCTCTAAGCTATGGCTCGAACCACAGGCAAATGCTAAATATTTGTTAACTTTATTACAAGTGCAGTCATTGAGTCGTCGTACTTCTTCCCTCATTAGAGACCTTTAGATTCAAGGACGAGAACGACTACGAGTGCGAGATTTGACTTCAAGTTTTTTCGCGTATTCTCAAAATATAGACTCCCCGGAAAGCTTCATTTTACCATTTTTCACTAGAAAAGTTAGCACCGTTACCTTTAGTGAAGGAGGTTGCACCCTGAACTGATTGCAAAATAATAAAACTTTTAACATTTGATAACTTGTTTCCGTACTCGTCTTAGAATCTAAAGGTCTCTATTCATTTGCGTTTAAAATGTGGTATCTGCTACAGAGAATTGAGGTTTTAACAGTAGGGATTAAAAGGTTTATTTATTGTATTTATCCTGTAGAATCTGATGCTGACTCAGCGGATTCCCTGAGGTTAGAGAATGAAATACTGCGAACGCAAGTTGAGAGTTTGAAGGCAATTGCTGAACAAAACACAAGTTTGATGTGGTCCATGCAAAGTTATCAGTACCAGGCAGAGGAGATAAGACAGCAGTACAACAACATGATAGTAGCTAAAGATTATGAAGTATGGAAACCCTGCATGAAAATTCTTAGTCTTTGAAGGGTCTTAACCTATTCATTTTTGTGCTAAATAAAACTATGGCACCTTGCAAGGAGCGCCTCCTTTTGTCTTCTTGATTGGGAAGGAGGGTAACTGGTCAAGTCGCCCGAAAGTTATCTCGCCTAAAACCAGAATTAAGTCGCCCGAAATGCTGAGTCATGTCGCCCGAATTTTATCAGGTGAAGTGCATAGAGAAACAAAGTGAATTTTTGTGAAATAAAGAGTGTGTGTAACATATCTCGTTCTTTAAACCATCATTAGACGAAACAAGCGGAATGAATGTATAACGTACCTCGCTCTTTAAGCGATGATGAGACGAAACAGGCGATATGTCAAGCTCATGTGTAATTTCTCTCGCTCTTTAACCATTGATGAACAACGAAACAAGCGCGATAAATGAGTAATATATCTCGTTCTTTAATCTTCGATGAGACGAAACAAGCGCGATAAATGTGTAATAGGGATGCTATAGGATGTTGTTGAGTGTGATAAGATTTCGAGCCACCTAATTCAGCATTTCGAGCGACTTGAATAAAATTGTCGGGCGACATAACTCTGATTTCGGGCGAGATTACTTCGGGCGACTTGACCAGGAGGAGAAGAGGACTCTCTGCCTGAATCGCGTCAAGCCTTTGAAGTCACAGCAACCCGGATTTCTGGACTAGTCAATCTTGTTTTCTCTCGTCAAACTGGTTTTTTAATGCAAGCATCCATTTATTGATAAAATTGCTGGTCATAACTGAGCCCGCCTTACTAAGCGCATGGCTCTTAGGCCTGGATTGGAAACTTTATCCAACCAGTATGCAGGTCTCGATTCATGCAGTCTTTCTCGAGTACAGCAATATTGATCGAACAAGCGAAAGAAAGGCTCTGCTGGCTGGTTGAAACTATCTTTTAAGGCTAGTAGAATCCATTTTCGCCACCCCCTGAACTGAGCGCGAACTACTGTAACTATTCAAAACATAATAGAAAACACCCAAGCACGGCAAATTTTTATAACATAATTGATTTTAGCTGATTTTAGGGAAATAAAACTCTAAATACATAAAAAAAATACGAGGTATTTTTTTTTAGATGAAAGCTGTATTAGGCATATGGGCAGTTACACGGTATCCACAGCAGAAGTAATTATGAACTTTACCTTTTTTTCCTTCCTGTTAGATATTTAGTCTGACGAAAGCTCTGCAAGATGCGAATATCCTCACTGATCCAAAGGTAGTGTAAACGCATTGATATCCTGTCCTTTTGTTTGAACCCTTCAAGCTCCAAGGATGATAGCCATTAAATTTATCCTGGTTTGTAATCCAGAAAAGACATCGCAATATAGGACGTAACCATACAAGATGGATTCTCTTGACGTGTTTTCAGCAACTTGTGTTTACTACTTTTTCGTTTTCGTTGTCTTCTCTCTTAGAGGTCATAGGAAAAAAGTCATAATTACGGTCATCTCGTCCGAAGTTATGTCGCCCGTAACCAGAATTATGTTCAAAACTCAAGTGAAACCGTTTTTTGACCAAGAGTTAAGGCAATGGATAATCGTGTTCATTGCGCTTTTTCCAGTAGCAATTTGTTGTTGTTGTCGCTGTTTATTTATATTTTTTAGCAACGGTTTTTTAACTGCGGCAAGTTTAGGTCAGTTTATGGTAGAGCGCTGGTCCATTTTGCGGGAGTTCGTAGGTTCGACTCTCGGGGTTGGACCAAACCTCAGCTAAACCTCACAATCTTCACAAAGGCGATTCGATTCCCCACCTCCTTCCCAGCTCATCTTGTTTCTAGGCTCGTTCTCAAAACAAACGAAATAAAACTTTATAAGAATGCAAGACTTTTCTTCTGATTTTCAGAGAGCGATGGCTGAGTTCGAAATTCTAGTTGACCTGGGCAAGGATAGCCATAATGTCACAGACATGGACCTCGATACAGAAGAACTCACAGATGATAACGAAAACGGCAACGAGAACAGCAAGCTTGGGATGCTGGATGAAATTGGTGGAATGGAAGAGTTTACAGAGAAAAACGCAGAAAATGGAACTGGTGTGGATCCTGCAGATGGTAGTGGAGGTTTGCAGAGTGACAGTTTGGGTACAGAGCTGGTGGAAGTTAGCAACAGTAAAGAACTTTGTCTTGAAAGTTATCCTGTGCAGGAGGTACCAGTGAAAGAGGGTGATATTGGGTACCCTGTTGAAAGTGAAAACGTAGACATTGAAACAGAAGAAAAGGGGATCAAAGAGGAACTGACAGATGAGAGGCTTGATGAAGGTAAGGTGGCAGATGACAAAAAGAACAATCAAGCTGAGGAAGACATAAACACCGAGGGGAAGGCGGAGGTATTTGTCGAAGATGAGAAGAGCCACGAGGAAGATGCGGAAAAACAAACCAGTCACGAAGAGAAAGAAACTGAAAAAATGAAAGAAGTGAAAGATGACAACGTAGAAGAAGAAGGGAGTGGCCGCTTTGTGGAGATCGATGACGAGCAGTTTGAAGTGATTGATGACATGGATGAGGAAGACAGCGATGATGATTACAAAGAAATTACGGCTGTGAGCAGTTCTCTGCAGGTCTTTGATAACAGCGCCCAGAAAGTTCAAGACAATGAAAAGGCTGAGTATATGAACAGTGACCGTGCAAACGAACAGCTTGCGAGTGATTCAGCTAATTACGCTGAGCATGACTCTAGTACCCAAGAAAAAACGCAACAAAGCGAAGATGATTACAAAGAAGTCAACGCGCAGCAGCAGGTCACCACCGGCTCATCAAATTACCAACTAAATTACGATTCCCAGTATCAAGCCTGGCTCTCAGCAGCTGTGAACAGCCGTGCATCTATGAATTACGGACCCAACCAGGTGCGCATCTCCGGAGAGGAGCTCGTACTTGTTGGTATTATATGTTCCTACCTCCAGCTTTGCCCGCAGGAGCTACAAGTGGTGAGATACGAGATTACCTGTCGAGGCAGTTCAAGGAGCGAAGAAGGGATGTGGTAGATAGATTGCTTTGCAGCTTGCCTGTTTTGTTCAAGGCAGAGGATGCTAGTGGAAATGCCAAGTGGAAGTTCTGTGGATTAGAGAAGTTGGCTGAGGCAAAAGGCGAGAGCTGAAGAAACGTACAGAGACACCAAGCAGACATGGCTGCTGTTCATGCATATGTCGTATCTGATAGCAACTTAAGACGGAATCCACCAGGACTTTGAGTAATTTTGATTTTCAGTGGACAAAAATCTTGTACCAGAATAATTTAAGCATACTGCATTCATTTGTACATTTTTCAAGGGCAAAAGATGTAATAAAACATCTGTAGTAACACCAAAAGAAATTTATTATGGGAGCACCAAATTACATCTTACACGTGAAATTTTCAGAATTTTACCTTTGTAATCACAATTCTTGTGAAATTTGACGTTCATATTCTCGGACTTCCATGAGAAATTTTCTTTGGTGTTACTACAGATGATTTATTACATCTTTAGTCCTTGAAAAATGTACAAATGAATGCAATATTGTTTGAATTATTCTGGTACAAGGTTTTTGTCCACTGAAAATTAAAATTACTCAAATTCCTGATGGATTCCTTCTTACTCTCTAGTGGTGCTTACGGTATATAGGTCCGTACTGGGTACAAACTGCGTAAAGCCTGTAGCATCATTTGCATGTAGTGTTGTTTATTAAGGCGTGCGAGGTTTTTGAGCTTGTGATACATGTGATTAACACGAGGTTATTCTGCCTGTTATTTTACCGCCGTATGAGTAATAAAACTCAATCTTATTCTAGACGGTTGTATAACTCTTCTATAGCAGAGGTGATAAACGGAAAACTCGTAGCAGAGGTCTTAGCCCTGCCATCGTACTCTTTATATGCGATAGATCATCCACCCCTGGGGGTTAAACAAGTTCCGTTTGTCAGCCTGCGAATACAGCCGTCTCACCACGCACCTTGCCGATAGGAATGTTTCGCGGGAGAGACGTCAACGACAGAAATTTCATACTGATGACGTGCAATATATCCGGAATCTGGTCTGGAGCTATGATTGATCGACGTAGTAATTATATTGTGTACGAATGACAAGCAAACGATCAAAGGTCGTAAAGATCAAATGTGAACGCGATGAATCTACTAAAAAATAGTAATTATTCGTTAAATATATTATTTTTACCATAACTGAGTGATTTTTCACCCGCTGATTGGTCGAGAGCTATGTTCGAAAACAGCACGGACGTGGAAATGACGTGATGGTGGCGCAATTTGTTTTTCTCTTGCGCGCGCGATTTTCCGAGAAACTTAACGAAAATGGACATCTATGAAGCAGTTTTCTTATCAAAAATACTATTCACTGTGCAGATTCAGTTATGTCTGCTTGTCATTCAGTTATGTCCGTTTGTCAATCAATTGTCTTCTTGTAATTCGATTTTGTCCGCTTGTTTTTTTAATTTTGTCTGCTTAACATTCAATTAATCTGTAAATTATGGCGTACGATCCCCGCCAAAAATTCATGATTTGTATTTTGAATTGCTCATTTAAATTTTCAACTTCAAAACTTTAATTTTACAGCTGAATTCAATATTTTATACTCTTCCTTTAGAGTTCACATCATGACGTCATCATCTTTGTTTATGAAGTACCATGCATTTTTTGGCATTATATTAATGTTGACGAAGTAAGTTGAATCACTCTCAAAAAATCCTTACAAAGTGCGATGGAATTATTACAAATTGCGACAGCTTAGTTTATTACAAAGCGCGACACGGTTTATTACAAATTGCGACAGGTATGACAAATTGCGACAGTACACTTGGTGGTAACTGGCCAGGCAGTTATTCTTGGGGATATAAGGAATACAATGCAATTACTATGTACACTTCACTCAGTCAATGGCATCAATTAGCACATAAGATATATTGAGGGTCTTCAATAGGATTCTTCGTCCTCGTAATCCCGAGCCCAAATTTCGTGCAATCTCGTAATCCCGATGATTTCCTTTTTTGGTATCCCACCTCCCGCGATACTTTCAATCCCAAATCTCGCCCCGATTTTGCTTTAAAATCCCGAATCCCGAGATTCAAGTAAGAGAAATCCCGGATACTGAAAAACCAATTGTCGACCATCTATATTGACATTTTGATCAAAGGAACTTAACAACGAAGCTTGAATAATATATAGAGTTAGACACTGTATTTGAACTGGATCGACCAAGAAGTAAAGACATAAAATACATGGGGTTACTTTGAAATTAATTTAATGTTTCGGAGCGCAGTACACCGTCTGAATTTTTTTTTCTCATGACTTGCAACGCGCTTAAAATATGGTTCGAGTTATCGACGGGTAAAATTATATAGAAAAAATCTGAAGAGAAAAATATAAATTACTCCAAGTTAGCGGGAAGTTCGAGTCATCGAGGGTTCGAGTTACCGAGGGTGAAATTGCAGTAAATGTGTGAAGGAAATCCAGGGGAAATCGATTTTGGTTCGAGTTATCGGGAGTCGGCTGTCACTTGAAGAATTTGCGCTTGTTTTAACAATAAAAGACACCGCGGAAAGCTTCATTTTGCTTTTTTCACCAGAAAGGTAGTACGGTTATTTATACTGAAGGGGGTTAAGCCCTCTCCCGATCGCAAAGTGATAACATTTCTAACATGTGATAACTTGTTCCCACCACTCGGACATTCTTGCTAAAACCCGTTGTAGAATGACGACGGCTATCACGTTTTCCCTCCAAAATGAAGCTGACTCGCGCGCGCAATACTTGGTATTGAGGTAATCTCATACTCGTAGTCCCCCTCGTCCTCGAATCTAAAGCTCTCTAACATAACGAGAGAAGCGCGGGGAAAGCGGAGGGTGATGGCTCGTACGCGCTCCCTTCAGTCACGCGCGGCGTGAATACCAGGACTCTATACCACACAACGTTCTAGTCTTACATTAAGACATTTTTAAAAGAACAGAAAAAAGGAATTGGAAACGAAAATATCGCGAGGTAACAAAGTGAGCATTCTTTCTCTACCTCTCTCTCTCTCTCTTTTTTCACTCAGCATAGAACATCTGTGAGCAAAAACCATAGACGGACTAAGTATGCGTTCACAAATTTGAACGGTATCCCGAAGTATGCTGACGTCCGAGCTTACTGTTCACATGTTAAAATGTATTGTAAGAGGGCACGTCTGTTGTCCTGTCATCCTCGACTCTTCATTTCATTTTAAGTCCCAACAAAGACTAAACGAAAAATAAAAACAATGCATCGCTAATACCATAAAAAATACAATCGAGCTACCGCTGCATTCGAAAGGGCGCCCCGTCGAATAAGGAAGAAGGCACTTACTCGAGGGCGGGACACCTTTCGGTTCAATGCAGCAGAAGATTATTGATTTTTGACTTCAAAGTGCGAAGGTCATTTGAGGGCGGCGCTCTTTCGATTGAACGCAATAGAATATTGTGTTTTTCGAAAGAGCGCTTATTTATTTCCCACTTAAATTGAGGTCGGCGCTCTTTCGAGTATATACGGTTTTGATAGCATTCGATGGTTTTATTACATTTGAGAGCTTTATTACATTTGTGGCTTCAACAGTACAATGTATGTTTTGCTTTAAAGCTCATGCTTTAATACTGCAGCTTATAATAGGGATCTAATTATGGATAATATACGGTATACATACGATAAAAAACACAATAAAATTTAACAATGTTTTGAATCAAGATGTTAACAAGACAAAGCGAGCAAGGTCCGCATCATTCACAAAAGGGCGATGTTTGTCACACAAGACGATTGAGGACATTTTCAGAGGAACATAGCGTTGCAACTGTTTCGAATGGTTGCAACATTGTTCCAACACTGCAACGTTGCGTTACGCTAGAAATGGCCGATGCAAATCGTCCCTTGAAGACAAGCAATGAAGTTGCCTTCATCGCACGCGCTTGTATTCCCTTGTCTCTTTCCTCCCTTCCTGCTCCTCCAAAATTTAATAATTTCGCTCCCAATATCGTGCATCCTCAAAGCACCACTACATTTGTGATAAACAGATTAAAACCGGTCAATTAAAGGCTATCAAAATCTATTGTTTCTATGGTGTTAAAAATACAATAAAAGGGACGATAATGAGAATCCACCGCATTTTGTTCATGAGATAAAGACGAAAAGTTATGACATCATCGACGTTAATCTAGTACGTTAATGCTGTTATTGGGGAGATTCCTTCCCAAAGAAAGGTTAATTCGGTGCGCCCGGTGTACTTTTCTAACTGGATAAAAGCGTGATCCCGTATCAACAGTTAGAACTGACAGAAATTACGTGGAAGAGGCACTCAAGAGAGTTATATACGAGTGGGCGCCACTGAGGTGTTCGACCCCTTACCCTTTACATGCCATTTTTGGGATAAAAGGTGTCCCTTTCACGTAATCTACTGTGTATTATACCTCGATATAAGGAATACTATGTTCACATTAAATAACTTCTAGCGATGTAAATTTACTGAAATGACACTACTAGAGGTAACCATGAAATCGTTGGCCCAAAGATATCTATGTCAGTGGCCTTTGTTGGCGAGGCGCCCCATATTAGGCCCACTTATACAGCGCACTGTTGACATTCCATTTGTGATGATCAGTTCTACAATTTGCAACTGCTAGGTAAGTATGCCCTTTGTATTGAAATGACGTCATATCAAGCGCTCCCTGGGTTGGAATCTCTTGATATTCAATGAACTGTTCCTGAGAAACTCGATATACCACTGACATAATATTGAACCCGTTGTCGTTATTAAAATGATTAGCCACACCCAGAAAAGTTTGACTGCACATCATAAAGGGATGTAACGCGGCTGCTCCACGAGTAGGAATCGACTGAAATAGAACAAAATTGCTGCCATTCCACTTGTAAATGGGAGAATTGATACCGTGTTTGAAGTTTGCAAAGGCGAGAAAAGTAGAACCGTTGTCACTGAATGACTTCACATCCCAGGCGTAATATGTCTGGAAAGACTGCAGTTTGACAAATTGCTGCCCTGACCACTTGAACACAGCTGACTGAACTGAATCTTGGTTTTGTGGGGACGAACGCCATCCGCCATGGTTTGCAAAAGCAATAAAGGTTTCATTGCTGATTACAAAGGTCTCAGTATTAACAGCCCCCTCGGTTGCTATGTCTTGAATCTTTTCAAATTTATTACTGTTCCATTTGTAGATGAATGAGTTGGTACTGTACGAGGAGTCATCACGATAATTTGAAATGGCAAGAAACTGCTCATTTTTTATTTCGAAGAAGTCAAAGCTGTGTGCTCCAAATGTTTCAATGCTTTGAAAGACAACAAATTGTTCCTGACTCCACTGGTAAATAACTGAATTCTGTCGGTACGCAGGGCCAACACGATGATTTGCGACAGCCAGGTAATGTTGATCACCAATTTTAAAATATTCCATGTCAATGCCTCCATGTGTGCCTAAAGTCTGATAAAGGAAAAAAATTCCTGTGGAATCGTTCTGTTTGTAGATGAAAGAGTCGGTGATATATCCTTCGGTATCACTAAAAGAGTTTGCGAAGGCGAGAAACCGAGTTCCGTCGATAGTGAAGTGTTCGACATCCGACCCTCCTTTGGTTGGTAGATCTTGTTTTTTTTCAAAGTGGTGAAATTTTTGTGAACAGTCTTGCAAGAAAAAATAAATGATTGTGGGTTAATAAAGGATTCACTACAATCAATGCAATGTGCAGGGGTGACCTTACTCCATCTAGCATTTTCAGTTCAGCTTTTATTTCAACGTTGTTTCTTCAAGAGCACTAAGTAGTAGTTTACTATCAGAAGTATCTCTTTTGCGGTCAGAAGTTTTGCGCCAAAACAATGTAAGTGCGTTGTCCATTCGTTTGCTGTATTTCATTTTTGCAGTATTTTTTTGCGCTCGCAGTATTTCTGAAGTTTTATTTTCACCTTTTATTTCAGTTTAACAGTTTAACAACACAACACAACTCAATTAACACATCAAATACGGCAAATTACGGTACATCGGACTTAATGTCAGTCGAGTCTTTGGGGTCAATGGTCTACCATCTTGCTTATTGCTGTACCCCTCGAGGACTCAAATCGGAATAAACTTGTGCGTCTATTGTTAGCGCTGATCGGTAAAAGAAGTCGCCTTACGGCAGCTATACATTGTTTGTAGTTAAGTTTTCCATTTCTGTTGTCTGAATCTAGATTCTGTCGTTTTTCACTGAATTTTGTCTCGCTAGTTTTCTACTTTTCAGAAAAGGTTGTCAATGATTGCATTTAAGCTTAAGTTTTAATACTCTTTCAATGAGGATGCCTATATACCGAGCCAGGACTCATCCAGAACTCGAGCTAGGACTCGAGCCAGGACTTCGGGCCAGGACTCGACAATTTTTCGCTCTCCCACCATTTTGACTTCCTGCAAGTTCCATGACTATTAAGAGGAGGGTTTTCGCGGCAATCATGGAAGGAAAGCTCGAGTTAGGGTTAGCCGGGGTTAGGGTTAGGTTAAGTTAGGTTAGGGTTAGGAGGTTACCAGTTAGGTTAGGAATCCTTTTTGCTGCTTTTATTTTACTTTTTTAAAGCTAATTATTTTTAATTATTTATAGTCAAAACCTTAAGATTGGTATCTGTAATTAGCTCCTTTTATAAAGCCTTGTGCAGTTTTCATCCCGCTCGATTGAACTAATCCTAAAGTAATTATTTAGCCGAAGAAAATCTTTGCTGTTTTTTTTTTTTCCTGTGGTTTTTAATATCAAGTTCGTCAATTCTTTTGTCTTTGTTTGACACGCAGATTATGAATTGTCTACCAACACACAAAAACTTTTCTTTATTCTGAAAGAGCTCAGAGCTGAATTGTGCTAATATAAATTACAAGCTAAAAATCACGTTGTATGTTTTGTTTTGGTTTGGAATCGATCCCGCGCTTCATCAACACGAACGCGTTCTACTTCAACATACATAGGTTGGAGGCTGAAGTAAAATTTTCCAGAAACTTTTAAATGTCAGTAGGAAAAAATAAAAATGTTTTTCACCGGCCTTGGTCGATCCGTATTGGGAGAAACTGTGCCCCCGGGGAATTTGTTATATTAAAACCATTTTCTCTGCCATAGAGGCTGTTCGAAAAAATTATCTTAAGCACGTATATCAAACCTTTATTTCTCAATATTATTTCGGGTTCAAAGGGTTGATCGTTGTAGAAAATCAAGCAAACAAGCTGTACTGAATTTGATGGAGAATTGAGAAATAAACAGAGGCCCACACTCGAAGGGATTGATTAGAAGTATGGTCGATTTAAGCAGCGAAGAATATATGGAATATAAACGTGTGTGATCTCTGAATCGAACCTCCTTTTCTGGAGACTCTAGACGTTACCAATTTTATGCACTTGTTGGTCGCGTAAACACGGCCGCGACACAAATTTTAAAAATAGAATTACACAATTACGGACACAACATACCAAGACGGTTTACACAAGCAGATAAAAGCAACAACAAAGCTCACGCACTTATGGTCTATTTGCCTCGGTTTTTATTTTTTCCCCGACCTCTCTGGTTCGAATGACTACGGTGTCCCTTTCAAATTTGCACATGCGACCCGACTGGCACTCGCCGGTTAGTATGTGACGTAACACCGGCAGTGATGAATCAGTCACAGACAAACACATGAGACAATAGAGATGGCCCCTCCCTCCGGGTCATTCCTTTTTCAATATTTGACTAGAAAATATACCTATCTAGATAGCTTTATAAAGAATATTTTTGATACTTCTGCTTTGGGTGGTTTTCGCTCCATCACTTCCCTACCCCACAGTACTTTTTGAATCCGTCAAAGAAATTGCTTCCCGCGCGCCGTCGTGATGAAATACAACTGCTGTCAAGTTTCTATAACGACAATTATTATCAGAGGCATATTGAAAGAACCTGAACAAGTAAGTTTCAATCCTTTTCCTGGTCTTTATCCTCATTTCATACACAGCCGTTCTAATTGTCTTCTGACGCTAATCTTTTGTTGTCCCCAAAGACAAACGTAAATACCCACAACTGAGTCAAGATGGGGCGTGATTACTTTCTCACCGCTAGCCCGCGTGGACCACTTTTTTCTTTCCAATCTGGGTGTCTACTTACTACAACCCTGGTCAAAACGTCTTGGGACACTTGACGAAACTAGGCACAAAGACGCACTTTGCTAAATTAACTCATATTCTACCTCTTAAAAAAGCTTGGGGATGTTGTTATAAGGGGCTATTTTTGCTGTCCCCCTCCCCCCCAAGCAGTGTTGATTGTGTTGAATTAAAACTTGAATACATAACGTCAACACTGCACCGAGGGGAAGGGGGGAGGGAAGATGCCTCAATTTGACGAGCTATTGCGTTAGTGTCCCAAGAGTTTTGACCAGGGTTGTAGATCCGCCATCCTTAACCGTCTTAGGGACGCCGCGCGTCAAGTCGGTCTACCGTATAACTCTCTCAAAGGGCACAGTTTTCGTATTGGCGCTTCCTCTACGGCAGCTGCTGCGGACTTGCAAGATACAAGTCAAGTATAAAGCATTTATTAAGAAACATAGGGCACGACTATTTTTTTTTTTTCATCTTGGAAAGAAGTTTCTTTTTCAAAACTACCTACCATAAGCACAAGACCCGGCTGTCAAGGAGAAGTCGTCAATTGCTATGTCACCACTGTCACCGTCGCCAACTACCCCTTCAAATGTCACCTGTGATAAAAGAAAGTAATTCTGATAATTTAGATACTGCAGGGTAATAGGAATGAGTGAAGTCTATTTCAGTCTGTAATCGCGGTTGGGGTTGCCTGATTTGTTTAATGACGTCTGTATATAATTAGAGACAAATCTGAACCACGCGAAGCTTTCTCACAAATATAACTGATACGTGAGGAAATTAATAAAAAAAAACATTCAATCCCGCGCTGCGATAGCTCGAAATGTGTATAAATTACTTAGGCGTGTACTGCTGTATTACACTGTTCTATGAAAGGTGTAATCAGTCCGAAAGCGCTGCTGTTAATTCATGACTTGAAGAGAAACTAATATGTGTTGTACTGAAATTAGTGACAAAATGTTATTATCGAATGATATTTAGTATATACACACTCAGTGATCATGGTGATTTAAGCAATCTGATTGGTTCGCTATCTCGGACTATTCAACAATATTCACCTCCTAGCGAGTGGATAATGTGTGAGCTCGGTTTTTTTCCCATTTTCTTAGTGAAAGATCTTTTAAAAGTCGACAAAATCCTAGGGTTGACTTTTTTTCAGGCAAGAAAAGACTTCGAAGGATTCAAAACGGCGTTTTTCCATTTACTGTTGTTGAGTTTTGTGGTCGATGGATTGTTTACAACTCCCGTTTATTCGCCTAGAAGAGGCCGTTTCGTGAACTCAGCGTTTCCTAACAAGAAAAATTTGGCCCAAAAACGAAGTTTATTTATGACAAACAAATTTGAAAGCAAATGTTTGCAGAAATTCTACGTTCAAGTAAACACGAGAAAGAATGCTACATGAAGACGACGTCTTACCTCGAGGAACCGAATCGCCATTTTTGTCTGCACTTCATGCGAGGAACGACACAATAAACCTTTTCGGCTATAAACTTGGCGAATAAACAGAAAACAACAAAGCTCTTCTTTTCTTCTCAGGTAAGGAAACAATTCAAACTTTTAGCGGTTCCATTTAAGTCATTACACTGTTGTTTGCGAAGTGATAAGCTTGTGAATTGCCATGTTTGAAAATTCTACAAAGACCTATTTTTAAACTGTCGCGTGTCTAGCTGACCCGATCTGTCAATCAAATCGTACTTTTTAATGGTTTCCTCTCTGATTTTGTTGAGATCACTTCGTGTGTATATACTAAAACAATTATTCTTTTCAATCTCGGTAAATAGTGGCTTTAGGAATATTTACCTCGCTGGCTCGGTAAATATTTTGCCACTATCGAAGATGAACTTAACATCGATGGATCGATGGAGGTAAGCATGTTTTAGCCATGTTTTTAAACTAGGAATTATTTTGAATGAATAATAAAACAATTATTGAATTCGGCTTTCGTATCATATGAAGAATTATGGAGATCTCGGAGGGTGTTATCCCCCTCGGCCTACGGCCTCGACGGATAACACCCTCCTCGATCTCCATAATTCTTCATAAGATACTCAGCCTCATTCATTAATTGTTATTATTATTCATTCAAAATATTTCCCCGATTCTGATTGGCTAAAAGCACACGTTTAATTCACCATAACCAGATACTGATGACCAAATTTGGAAGAATTTTGACTTTAACGAGGAAATGACGTCAAAAATGCAGCGTTTTTGCAGGTTAAGGCACCGTTAACCGAGAAGACCTGGGGACGAGGTTGAGTTGTTTTGGTTGTGAACTTGAAAAAATGGCGGACATTTCACTCGTTTCAAGAGTAAGAACTAGGCGAAAAAATAGCTAAAAACATGGCCAGAACAGCAAGAAGACAACTCGAAGGGCTACATCTGCTATTTGGAGAATATTTGCGGAGCTGGACAAACCTCAACGTACACTATCGAAGATGAACTGAACATCGATGGATCGATGGAGGTAAGCATGTTTTAGCTATGTTTTTAAACTAGGAGTTATTTTGAATGAATGATAAAACAGTTATTGAATTCGGCTTTCGTATCATATGAAGAATTATGGAGATCTCGGAGGGTGTTATCCCCCTCGGCCTACGGCCTCGACGGATAACACCCTCCTTGATCTCCATAATTCTTCATAAGATACTCAGCCTCATTCATTAACTGTTAAATTAACTGTGTCACATTAAAACTAATGGTAAGATACAGCTTAAGCTGCAGCTTGATAATAGTAGCAGTCGATCGATCGAGTCAACTTTTTCACCTTCTTTTTAACTGACAAGTACAAAAAGCAGAAGTTCATGACTAAAGTAAGATTTCGAACCTGCTTAGACTCCAAAGCCGAAGTAAAATTATTACAAAAGATATGATAAAATATTCCTAGTGTCTATTAACTTCCTCTATTACTACCTTTAGTGGACACCGTTTTCCCATCGTTGAGGATCTCGGCTCATTAGATTAAGAGAGGTAAAAACAATAAAAGCTTATTACCCAATGCAATCCCACAATAGCTGATACATTTATACTGACTTTATACCACTTGTCTTCTCTTTGGCCGCTTCTAGAGAACACTACTTTTTCATCTATGGTGACTTTCAGGCTTCCAATAGCTACACCAGACATATGGTAATAGAATTCAAGGCACATGTGCCCTGCGAATGTCAGTGGAGGACTGTACAATTTTGCATTATCTTCTCGTTTTCGTGGACTGGATGCTTCTATGTACATGAAGTAACCTTTAAAGAGATGAAGATCAACATAGAGTAGCAAATACTTAACCAGACAGTGCGGACTGTCCAATTTTGTTACATCATCTAGTTTTTTGTTGAAAAGATATAATGTATAAATGCACACGTCTATAACTTACAAGGGGATACAAGGTGTACGGATAGCGAGAAGAGAAAAAAAAATAACCAATCCCAGAGCGCACTAAAAAAGTTTCAATGTGACTTTAAAAAGGTGACACTGACTTATACAATGAGAATGATCAAAGAAGGGCGCCTTCTTAAAAAAAAGGTGCTAAGACGCCCTTCTTTCGGGATTTGAGAAAAAGAGGAAACGCTACAAGAAATGAACAAAGTCCCCCTTGGATGTAAAGAGTGACTGCAACGTCATCGTATTGCACTAAGTGGCACGAAATTAGATATTTTCGCCTGATACTTTCAAGAGTTAAATACGCAGGCAGCTAAAAAAAGTAACAAAAAAGACAATTAAACCAAGGAAAGTGGCCGTGGCATAAAGTAGAAAAACTGGCAACATTACAGTCAAGCCAGGTCAAGCGTACCCCCCAAGATCCCATTAATGAATTTATTATTCGAAAGTTGAATCCGTTGATAGTTGTAGATTTCAGATTCATCTCTGCATTCTTGCATGCGTAATGAGCCGTGAATTCACACGCGAGGCAGTTACGAAATTTCTACCAGCTCAGTTTCCCTGAATTTGATGTAAATATCTTCTAAGAAATATAATCTATTCAAAGATTTTCAATCTGACCTAATACAGAGAAGTTCTCGTTAGATATTCACTGCTCATTACGCATGCAGAAATGCCGATTTGAATTTGACAAAAGATACGGGAACCACTAACGGATTCATTTTTCAAATAATCAATTCATTAACAGAATCTTGGGGGGTACGCTTGACCTGCTTTGACTATAAAATTCACTAACAATATGTGCAGCGGACTGCTCTTACATTAGTTTAATACATGTTATATTTCTCTTTGCTAATAGTAGTAGGACTGCCTTATAGTAAGTTTCTAGATTTTACCGCACGATCGCAAATTTACAGTTCACCTGTCATGTTTCCAGTGGTGTGATCAAGAGAAGGTCCAGTACCGGAAGAGGGTGTATTTCCTTTGTGTCGAGTCCAGTCAAACTTGTCATCTATGCCTTGCTCGAAACCGCACAAAGATACATCAAAGTTGCATGTCGCTTCTAGGAGAAGACAGTCAGGAGCGTAGCTACCTGTACACACGGTACGCACGTGCATACCTGAAAAAAGTCGTGCACAAAAAAGATATATAATGAATAAATAATAAAAAACAAAAAGTTAATTCTAAAAAGAGAGCAAAATATCTAAATATAATTACAGTCGACTCCCGATAACTCGAACCTTCAAGGGAAATCGAAAAAGGTTCGAGTTATCGGGAGCTCGAAGAAAATAGCCGGGAGTAAGGAAAAAAACAGTTCTTACTGCACAGTGAGTATTCTAATCACATTTAATTGTAAAAATGTTGAGTGAAAATTGAAAGATACTGTTAGATTATAAATCAGAACGTAAAGTAACAAAAGAGCTTAAATAGAGCACGCATTTTACTTTTGGAGAAGTAAAGCTATTTCACGTTAGATTTGTGGCAAACAACGTCAGCCTCCACTTTCGATCCACTAGTAAACTATATGCCTACAACACGTCAATGGGAAATTCAAAATACAATGTTTCGGAGGCAGTACACTCTTTTTTCCCGACTTTTTAAGGGCTCAAAACATGGTTCGAGTTATCGAGGGTAAAATTATATAGAAATGATCTAAGGGGAAACAAAAATTACTTCGAGTTCAGCGCGCGGGAGTTTCGAGTTATCGAGAGTTCGAGTTACCGAGAGTAAAATTGCAGTGAATGTATGACGGAAATCCAGGGGAAATTGATTTTGGTTCGAGTTAGCGCGAGGTTCGAGTTAGCGAGGGTTCGAGTTATCGGGAGTCAACTGTATTTTAAGAGCACAGTTTGCCTTAATTCATTCAGCTCTGGTTGTTTCTTTGAAATATATATTTTTTCTACAACAACGAATTTTTTTTCTCTCTCCACCCAAATGTCGGTTTCCCGAGAAACGAAGTAAATCAATCAGTAGTTGACCGAATCTTGGATAACATACATGACTGTATATATCTAGTGAACAGATGGCAGGCGTTTTTACTAAATCTGTGTTCGAATTCCTAACGGTTTAAACAAGTCGATAAATCCTGGGAGCAACAACGAAGGCCACGGTGACGACGACGGCAATGAGCCCAATAAGTAAAAGAAAAAACAATAAATTTTGCACGTCCAGCGCGCTTTTTTTTACAACTTGTACAAACACCACCGTAAAAAAATCCGTTTTGCGACGTTGTTTGGAGGACGTAAACACAGGGACAAATTCAATTTCTTCGCTGATTCGAACTCGGGTGCGGTCCCCAAGACTCCACGGGGAAGTTCACCTATATTTGCCATTTTAAGAGAGTTGACGCAAATAAACTCGAAAAAGTTATAAAAAAAAAAAAAACGCATTTCGTTCCCGGCCCTCGCCGTCGTCGTTGCTAAGGCATCCTATATGTAAGTGACGGTTCCATTTTGGTTTTACTGCAAACTCATATGATCAAGTGCGGAAAAGTATCCGGATAAGCTGGACAAATTGTTTACACTACAAAACATTGCGAATTTACAAGGCATCGGATTTAGATTTCGGATTCAAATCTATAGAGACTTGACCAAATTGGCACCTTTTTAATTCGGATTCACGCTCTGCATAAGCCTGTACACAGACGTTGTTTTATTTTTCTTTTCGATCTTTTCGAAAATCTTCTTCCCTCACCTACCCCCTTGCACTGGCGGTCAATAAACCCCCTCCCCCGCCCGCGGTTTTTATTATTTTATCACGCGCGTTCGACAAACTTCGAAAAGAAAATAGGTTGATGATCAATGATGATAAAACCGAGTTTTTGCTGGTCGGCACACGACAACAGCTTGATAAACTAGATTCGTGTTCCATTACTGTGGGCAATAATCGTATCAGTCCAAGCCCATGTGTTAGAAACCTTGGATCTTGGTTTGACAGCAACTTAAGCATGACTGATCATATAAACAAGGCTTGTAATGCGGCATTTTATAATATAATTTACATAATTTAAGACGTGTTAAGAAATACCTGTCGAAAGATTAGTTAATTACTTTGGTTCATGCTTTTATAACCAGCCGTCTTGACTATTGTAATGGTTTATTGTTTGGCTTGCCAAAGGCGCAGATCGCTAAATTACAGCGTGTACAAAATGCAGCAGCAAGACTCATTTTGGGCACCGGAAAGTTTTCTCACATTACACCCGCGCTTCATGAGCTGCCCTGGCTGCTGGTTTCTTTGCGTATTGACTATAAGATTTTACTTTTAACTTTTAAATGGATTTTATGGCCTAGCGCCAACTTCTCTTAGCGATCTTATTAGCATAAAATCGAATTCATTATATAATCTTAGGTCTACTGGTAAGCTCTTATTGGACCATCCCAAGGGAAAGATGCTTACAACATTGGGAGCAAGATCATTTTCAGCAGCAGCTCCGAAACTCTGGAATAGCTTACCAGTGGAGCTTCGTCAAGCAACATCACCTAACAGTTTTAAATCTCGACTTAAAACCTATCTTTTTAAGAAGTATTTTTTATAGTTTGTAACTTAGTTTATTTTATTCTCATGGTAATGTATTTTTGTTTTCTCTTAAATATATGATTGTAAAGCGCTATTTATCAGAATATGTAATTTAAAATCATGTATGTCTTTTGTTCGCCATGTCCCAGTGGGACTTTTGCTCTCCAGCACGGCGGTTTTGTACCACGTAAATGGCTAGCTGCAAAGGGCCTATTGGTTTAGAGCAGGCGGTGTGCGTCACGACCCACAAAGGTTCATGGGTAAAACTGTTACTGTGCCTCATTTCAATCGTGACACGGTCGAGTTCGCATCTCGTAAAAAGAGAGATGAATCAAACCCAGGGATCAAAACACTCTTTCCATTACAGAAGAGAACGATTTGGAGAATTTTCAAGATCTCATAGTGGCCTTAGATGCCTGCTATTGGTTTCACAAGACAATTTCAATAAGTTTATCGCGATTTCGGAGACGATCGTGCGATCTAGCCGACTTTGAGCGGCGACTATAAATTTCCTGCTTCTCATATTAAGATTTTATGTTCTGTTTGGTTTATATGTATATTTTTATCTCCTAGTGAAATAGATCTGTAGTTCATACCTGGCTTTGCTTAACTAAAAAAAATTCGTCCATCAGAAGTGTTTATATATTTGATGGACTTTATTACCGGCCAAGGAGGGGGAGCGCGAGCAAACAGCAAGGTGACTGAATCGTCTCTCATAACAGTTTTATTTTCATCGACAAGTTTATGTTATTTCGAAAACAGTGCCCATTTGAAATCCTTATGCGCAAATAAATCTTCTATCAGGCAAGGGGAAAACAGGCCGAAAGAGCCGAACAGCTACAGCACAATCGGAATTTCACCGAAGCTACATCCGCAGAAATAAACCTTGATCTTGTCTGTGCATTCATTGAAGTGAGTGCAGTATATCGATTTTGTTATTAATAAAGTAAAACCTAACCTCAGTTTTAAAATCCTGTATGATGTTGTCTGGATCTTCGGTAATAGTTTTCTGTTTTGGTAGAGATTTATAGCAATTTATTCCCTCACATAAGTTTACATAAAGATTTGCATACACATACCACACACTCAATGCAAATTATTTTAAAGTCACGCTTTCAGTTTCCGCACTGGGTTATGAAAAATGTTTTCTTTCCAACGGTTATTACAATATTCAAACTTATTTACCTTTTCTGGTTTAAAATAGAGCAAACTCTTCCTGGATTTGCGTTACTCGCTTCACGTCGGCTTCCGCTTCGACATGTTTTCTCAGCCCGTTTTCCCGGGAGTTTCGCCACTTGGCCGAGACGATGTCTTAATTCCAAGACACTTTCAACGGCTCATAACGGGAAAACTAACAGGGGCAGACCCGGGTAGACCCCGAAATTTGCAAAGAAGAAAGGTTGAAGTAACAAGATGGCCAAAATAATTCGATAAAACTGCTAACAGTAACCAGCAATGAATCCAAGAAGAACGGCAAAAACAACACTCAAATCATCATGGCGGCCTGCACATGACCGAGCAGTTCAAACGTGTCACAAAAGCTCAAAAAAGCAAAATATTTAAAAGTAACTTGACTGCTATCAAGATAAAATGTTCCAACAACTTTCCACAGCAGTGTAGTGTCGAAATTACCAACACAAGCTTGGAATAAAGCGACAATTTCTCCACATATACCTCTGAAAACGGCTTCTTCCAAGCGCGAAAATCACTCTACAAATGACACATTCTGATTGGTCGAATCTCGTGACGCACACCGCCTGGGTTTAGAGTAAAATAAGAGCAGCGTGAGAGCCTCGCGCGCGAACCTCACACGCTCACCGTCTGTCCGTTTTCCATACAATCAGTTCGTTCTGACCAGGGGGTTCAAAAACGAAGGAACAAAGGTTAGAAACTGCGCTGCGATTCTTTCGCAACTGAACACGCCAACGAATGGTAAATAATCACGGTAGGGAAAATCGGAAATGACTCGTTGGAAACATAACTTGACAACTTGTTAACAGCTTACATCAAAGTTTAGTCAATGGGAATTGCTCGTGGCTGGAAGAAACGGGTAATTCGAACGAGTATAACGTGTGCAAAACGGACAGTCCCGTATTTTTAGCGTCTCTCCCCAGTCTCACTCTCCGTTTTCAGCTCTCAATAAGAATTTTATCAGTTTTTCTCGAGGGCTCCCCTGACGGCCCCTGCATGTTCATTGTCATTTACAAGGGGGGAAACGTTTTTTTACAAGGCTTAAAAATAGACATTTTTGAACTCATTTTTTCTTACTAGCACTCCGATTTCGATCAAAATTGAAACAGGGTGTATATATTTCACCCTTTGTGAACCATTTGATGCTTAAAAATTTGCGGGCACTCAATACATTTTTTCATGCCAGTCAAATGAAAATGTGTACCTGAGACAAAATAGTAATTTTTCGCAACTTTTGTTCGCCTCTATCTTTCTTTTAAACAATGTCATTGGGGCTATACTAAGCAAGAATGTTGGATGGTTCCTATAGATTGTATTGCTTTACGTTTTACAGTCAGTTATAGAGCAGATTAACGATTTTTAGTTTACAAAAACAGACATCGTGCGATTACCGGTTAATTTGTGCAAATTA